CTTTGTAGCCGGCGACTGGGCTTATTAGCCGGCGGATTTTGCCATGTAAAATCCCGTCCCAAGCTGATGTGGGCTTAATACGCGGCTGGTCTTATTAGCCGTGGGCTTAATAGCCGGCGACTGCTGTATAATGTTGTCGGAGAATATTTTCTTTGCGACTCCGAGAATTGCGAGCATACACTAATTAAGCACAAGGTACTGTAGAGCTAGACGCCGACAAAAACTAAGGTTTCATTTGAATCACGTGAAAATATACTTTGCTGTAAAACATAGCTTTCACTAATGCGTAATTGAGACCCGATATGGGCAGAAGGTTTTGTATGCAGTCAGCTACTCTGGTGAGCATTTGGAATAATTGGACGGGACCTAAAAGTACGCAAATGTAGCGAGAAAAGTTCTGCTATAAATCGCCAAGCGCATGAACAAATTCTGAGCTGAGAATGTATCAATCATTTGCAGAGAAGTCAAATAAAACGGTTAATATTCCATATTTTATTAGGACTTATTTTAAAAATTTAAAAATTTATATTAGCTAGATTAATAGCCAACGTTTGATGAAGACGCCCATTTTCTCAGCAGAGAATTTTCATGTTTGATTGAGCCTATAAAATGTGACCCTATCGGCCGTTTGCAGTAGAAAAAGTATCCAAAATGCTCTATATTGGCAAATGCTCTAAGAAATAACTTAGCTCGAAGGTTTTGGCAAACACGTAGATCAGAATCTAAATGTACAGCCAATTGCTTGAAAATACTGAAAATTGTAAAGTATTCGTCAGCATTTCAAGGACGACATGAAGCTTATTGTAATTCAATAGCAGAAATACGTATCAGGAAATTTGACAAAATGATGTTAATCGTTTTACGCAGAATGGTATGCTTACGATTTCACTTTTCCATTCGGTTCATATTTATTACTAATAACTACGGCGAATTTTCAAGTTTTCGGAATTGACGCATCTTCAGACATTTTTGTACTTCTTAATAACATTAAAGTAACTTGCATATTTTCTCAAATTTTGAGTTTAACTAAGATTACTCGTTACTATTTCAAAGCTTTGATACCTTCGCGTGCGTCAGTTTGCGAAGGATTGTCAGTATTTCGCATAATACGGAATTTTTCATGAGTTAGGTAATCTCTTGTACATTAACGGATTAAGTAGAGGAAGATTAGAGTAAAATGTCATTGCAGCAGTAAGTCGGTCTAATACAGAAGTAAAAATATAATAAGTTCATTTTTCTGGACGGGAAAAAGACAAACAGTTTGCACTTTTAAAGCCACTGGGATTTCTGCACGTGCCTGTAAGGAATATACCTCTAGGCAGTACAGGTGCTGAAGGATCGACAAAAATAGATGACGCAAACCTGTGTTATAATAAGCTGTCGTGGGTGATTATTAATATGCACTTTTGTCGGCGAAAAATGTCCAAAGCCTGAAAGTTAGTACCACCAGTATATGCTTTGAAAAGAACTGAAATACAACCAGGTTAAAATGTACTTACATGCATTGACTCAAAATATTTAAAGTGTTTTAAGTACAGATCAGACTGAATTTATTTTATAACGTGAATTGGATCGGTCCTACAAAGTCAAAACACAGAAAATTGCGAGATGTACTGTTTCAAGGCAAATGTGCACTTCTACGGGTTTTATACGTAAGCAGTGGTCCGAATCAGAGTATGGCTAGAGCACTGTTCTGTTAGTATTCCACGCTTTAACTCATTTTCCAGGACTCAACTGTAATGTGCACTTTTAAATGCTAACGGACGTTTCGACAAGCACGCAGATTTACAGGAAAGTAACATCATGTCGTCCATTCATACTCCCAGCGTGGTGTTTCAAACTTTTTCCAACTCCTTGCTGCAGGATTCTGTCATTCCGAAAACTGACGCGTACACAAAAGCCCACCGCTTGTATTTCTGCTGTATTACCTAAGCAATACTGCAATATGGGGGAGCAGGTTATATTGGTCGCATGAGTCGGCACCTATCCAAAAGAATAAAGGAACACCTCCCGCAATGGCTAAGTAAAGGTGAAGTCAATACCACCAGGACCATCAGCAGCTCTATTCTAGCTCACATGGCGGATTCCGGACATCGGGCGGACCCCAACGAAGCCTTCAGGGTCCCACCAAACTACCCTAAGTCACTGGGTCAGCGCCTGCTAGCAACAACAGAAGCAACCGCTATCCGGTTGAGGAAACCGGTTTTGCGTGCGCAAAAAGAACATAGGCAATAGTCAGACGTCGTCATGCTGAAATATTGCTCCTATGTATTTACTTTTATAAATCTTCCATTTAGCTACTTCCTCGGCTAACTGCACCCTCACACACAGTTCCCACCATGACACTCGTTCAGTTATGTCGGTTTTTATTCTTTTTAATTAGTGTCTTCAAACTCACGTGTTACGGCTGGAATTAAAGACGCATCTCACAGAACTGTCGCGATTGGTAAACTGTATCACCAAACTGTCCAAACGTCTGCTTATTAAAGCGGACGTTTAAACTAACTAGCTAAATAAATAAGAAGGTATAAGTACAATGAAGATAACAAATATATATTTAATCAAGGTGTTTAGGACATATCTTCCACGAGATAGTTTTTTATAAAATCTAACTTTTAATCTCGACATAGAATATAGTTTCCGAATCATCATCTCTTTGCTATCCAGCTCCTTTCGATTAAAACGTTAAGCATAATCCGGTTAAGGTGCAGCAAGGACTATTTTGTGAAATTACTTTCAAATAAGAAAGGCCTTGATACGTAAATTAATCTAAGGACAGCCATTACCATAAAAAAGACTGTCCAAATATAAATGAGCGTAAAGTTTTTCCCATCCCTGTTAGAGCGTTGAATAGTAAAATTAGTTCGGTACATTAGGAAGCTTTTCCATGAGAGGTAATGAGGAATCCCAAAATGCACGTGCGCTTAAAAATCACCATTTTACTTTCCCTTATCATCCTTCCCGAGTTAGGTATGTAAAGTATCATTCTGAGCCGACTATTCACTTTTAAAGTAGGCACGTTTTTTTACCTCGGACGAGTACACATATTTACTCTCAAACCCAAGGAGGCAGACTGCTTTTCATGATAAACTAACTTACCTGTGCAGACGAAGGGATTCGGTGCGTTTAAGCTTGGTTTCCAGGCTTTCGTTCAATTCTGCCAGCAGTTTCTCTGACGTTCTGAGCTCCTCAATTTTGGTTTCATACTCTCTCAGCTCAGTGCTGGTCTTCATGTCTATGGGAGCTTGGATCATTTCAGCTAAAGCATAAAAGGGAAGAAAAATTAAGATGAGTAAGCAACTGGGATTTGCTAGTCTGACTCAATCTATTACCAAAAGGAGTATTCGTTGTTCAAAAAACTCGCAGCTCTTGGCAATAGCCAATACAGACAGATCATTACGAGGTCGCTGCCATTAAAAAGATAGTAATGAGATTTCCAGTCATAAAAACAAGTAAAGCATAGAAACAGCGAGAACCAGGACTCGTAACCATGATCTCTTCTTAGGTTTTCAGAAGGTTTTCAATTTCCCGATTATCTTTGAGCCCAATAGATAGTTGTAATTGTATTAAGAATCTCTTGGTCTAAAAGTTTAATGTAGGAACTAGCGTATATCCCTCATTAAGGAGAAATTTTATAGTGTTCATATACGCTTTCCTGGATATGCACTATACCGTAAACGTCATGAGGGGCAAATATGATGCAATTTAAAGGAAAATTGTATGGCTTTTTTAACATTTCACAAAAGGAAACCTTTCCAAACCGAAAGGAAGTTTACGGAGTATATAGTTAGCTGCCAAATGCGTACACTTAAAAAACGTTGTGCTCATGATTTTTAGTTCATATATTAGAATAAACAAATGCACGAAAAATCAGTAGAAAAAATGCACTCTCCTCAGGCAGTCATTAATAGAGAGAAGTGTATTTGCGGGCCACCAGAAAACTGCACATGTACACAGCGGACCCAGTAAAAACGGTGACATTTCGTTATTAAAGACCGAATTTAGTAGCCCTTCCTAGGCAAAAACGCATCTCAAAAGTTCGGTTAACCTTTCATGAAGTTGGTCATTGACCTCATCTATCGTCCGTTGAGTATCTACATCAAAAGCATTAACGCCTGAGACTAATAATTTCAGCTTTACATGCAACTGATATTAAGCAGTCTAGCCAGCACTCCATGACTATATAACGTCCAGTACAGCATCGTCGAAAGAAGTCATTTGACGATAAGCAATCGACGGGACCCGGCCATACTTTCAAAATTGACGAGGCTGAAATCCTCGCAAGCATTGAGCCGCGAACTGCTCGAGTCATGGTTCTCAGGCCCCCAGTGCATCAACAAGTGCAACGATTTGACATTCCCTTACAATGTACTGAGAAATTGTCTGAGCAAGAGAATCAGTCGCATGGGAAGGGCCGGGGGCAGCAGCAACT